TATTAACCCTTATTTTTGCAATTAATATTTTTAGCCGTGCCAACCCCCTTGGCATGTAAGGCTAATGCCACCCTGACCTTTGTCCATCAACAATCCAACATGCACCCTTATCGACCCCCTAAAACTAAAGAGAGCTTGGGATGAAACTTTTTTTTTACTCCTCTTTCCTTTTTTTGGTACCTTACCTCTACTACCAGAATAGTTAGATTCCCTGAAATGAATCAAGTTATTTTTTTTGGGAACAAACGCTTCATTATTCAAAAAGAGTCATTACAATCTGAAAGCAGGCAACGCTGCAAGAAGCTAGGAGGATCAGACCATACATAAGTCTGCAAAGAGGAAGAAGCATGCTGCACACAGATCGATGATTGCAGCAATTTCTGAACGGAATCAAGTTATTTTTTTAAATCACATGGTACGACGTAGACGTCCACAACATGCACGTATACTCATCCCTTATGAACGCATGTACGCAAACCCTACCCCTATGTGCACCTTCGAAGGACTGAGCCGGTAGATCTTGAGATTCACGAAGTCACCATAGGCACCTCGCTGTCAACGGGATGTCACCTAGCACTGAAAGCATAGCGCCAAGTTATTGACAACACATTATCACAGCTTAATCTCAACACATATGTTGCACCACACACTACGATCTCTAGACAAATTAAGGAGCCTTCATCGTCTGCATCTGTGGCCTCCTCGCTCTGTCTACATTGCTTAGCCTCCCTTTCCATCCTCTCATACATGTCTATGTTTGGCATGCATAACCGCAACATCTCTGTTTCATGAAAAAAAAAACTCAACAGAAGGTCTAACACATTGGCGCCAGCCTTAGACGACATGGGCAAATGTTACTTGCTCCTCATCTTCCACTTTCTCTCCTCGATCTCCCTTGTCTACCGCCAAGCCTCGCAAGCCGATGCCCTCACCTTAAGCTCCTCTAATACCTTACTTCGTCCCTTGAAATCCTCCAATCCCATTTCAATGTCCGGCTCTCCTACGAAATTCACCAAACCATGTGAAAATTGGAAATTGCTAATGGAATAATACATTATGAACTAGGCAAGTCGGTTACTCACCAAAAATCACCATAAAGATTTGCTACAGTAATATCCGTAACCAAGCTCCAACAGAACTGCTCGCAAGCCTTGAGGATACAGATAACTTTGGCATGGTCACTTCTTTATCCTAACCTCGAACTTAGCCATTTCACGCCCAAACAACCAATGCAACTTCGGACCATATTTGTACTCTTAAACGTCACACAATGACCATCCATCTTGCATAGCATAAGTCACTACTACACTCACATTTTGTAGGAGCGGCTCGTGATGCTTTGTAGGTACGGTTTTTCCTGCCGCCCCTACCACAGCGTTGCTACAAATCGCTGATTTGTAGGAACGGTTGGCCAGCCTTTGTAGGGGCGGCTCAAGATTTGTCCGGGCGGCATTTTCTAGAAAATACGAAATCGGGCCAAAAAAATAGGAAAAAAACTTAATCCGGGGAGGCCCCCCACCCGCTCCGCCAAAGTCGCAAGTCACCGTGAAAATCGCGCGCTTCGCGGCTACGGGGGGATTCGAAACCGCGACCTCCCCTCCTTTACCACTGCACCTCACGCTCACTTATGTCTATATTGGATTTTGGTTCCCCACGTATTATCCTAAACCGAGTTTAAATTGATTGTTTGAGGACCTAAATAAATTCAAATAAAAAGTTATCAACTATAAAGTGATATAACTTTTTGAGATCTACAACTTTCATTTTGGTAGTTTCTTCATCCGAGGTCGTTTACAAAATTTTCATTTCAAATTTAAGAAATTCAAACGTAGTTTTCCTTGAGAAGATTATTTCAAATTAAAAAGTTGTCAACTACAAAGTTGCATAACTTTTCGAGATCTCCAACTTTCGTTTTTGTTGTTTGTCCATCCGAGGTCGTTTCAAAAATTCAAATTTCTAAAAAGATCTCCAACTTTTGTTTTTGTTGTTTGTCCATTCGACGTCGTTTCAAAAATTCAAATTTTAATTTTTTAAAAATTCAAACGTAGTTTTCCTTGACAAGATGGTTTCAAATTAAAAAGTTATCAACTATAAAGTTGTATAACTTTTTGGAATCTACAACTTTCATTTTGATTGTTTCTCCATCCGAGGTCGTTTGAAAAATCTAAATTTCAAATTTTAGAAATTCAAACGTAGTTTTTCTTGACAAAATGAATTCAAACGAAAAAGTTGTCAACCACAAAGTTCTATAACTTTCCGAGATCTACAACTTTTATTTTGGTCATTTGTTCATCTGACATAGTGGTAGTAACATTGTTCAAGAATTTTACAAAGTTACTACCGCTTTGTCGGATGAAAAAATGACCAAAATAAAAGTTGTAGATTTTGATGAGTTCTACAACTTTTATGTTCATGACTTTTTCAGCTGAAATCATTTAATATTTCAAAAAGACGTTTGAAGTTACCATTTTTTAAAATTCAAAATTCAAATTAATAAAACAAAGTCACATAAAAAGATGACCAAAATAATAGCTATAAGAACACAATAAATTGATAGAGCATGATTTTAGAAAATTTTAGGAAAAAAATCATCAAATTTGAAGTTAGTATGAGGGAGAATGACTAGTTACAAGTTTTATCCAGAAATTAAAAAGAGAAATCAGAGTTCTTCGACAATTTCAAAATTGAATTTCAAACGGCATTTAGAACCAGTAAATGATTTCAAATAAAAAAGTTGTAAACAATAAAGTTCTATAACTTTTCGAGATATACAACTTTTATTTTGGTCATTTCTCCTTCCAAGGTCGTTTGGAAAAAATTGAATTTCAGTGCTCCTACAAATCTGATTTGTAGGGGCGGCTCTATATCCAGCCGCCCCTACAAATTGAGCCATTTGTATGGGCAGCTTATAACACCAGCAGCCCTACAAATGAATTTATAGGGACAGCTCGTTTAGGCACCATTTGTAGGGGTGGCTCAATATAAAGCCGCCCCTAGAAAAAAAGGGAGCATTGCTACAAATTCTTTTTGTGGTAGTGAGTAAATGTTCAAAGATTCATTCAATGAACAGAAAAATAATTGGAAATGATTTCTTTGGAGTAGAAATAAAGTCAACGTCGATGTTTTTTTTATATGAAGTCAACGCTGATGTTGGGCCTCTAGCCGGAGCTTTGCAGGAACTTTACAATGGGCATAGTGATGGGTTCGCTACACGACTTGCACTAGCATCAGTCTTCTCCTTCGGTGATATTTCAGGAAGGTTTGATGGAGGTGGAACCCAACATTTGAACTCTCGGTCTAGACATATGGGAAGAACCTAATAATCACGTGGCTCAATACTCCAATGACGGCTCCATATATGCTTCACTTGGCACATGTAGAAAGCTTGGCCGGTCCATTCAGGATTCCTAGATTGCTTCACATGTGCAAGACAACCGCAATCACATCTTAATACAGTAAGATGAGGTAGAAACAGTCCCATAACTCCGTGACCCTTGACATAGTAAGGGCGGTTAATTTGGTGGCACTTCGAACCTACTAACATGAATGACAAAGAAACATGAACGAATTAATTATGCATGTTTTGTACTTTCATATAATATACTTCTTATTAAAAGATGATTAATTCAAATCCTTCATATATACCTCCATTACAATTACAACTATCATAGGTTAAGTGCAATGGAAACAAATATCGCGAACTACATCCTTCTTTGTACTTATTCCTACATCCACCATATTTTCATTAGTGAGTTGGAAAAAAAATCTAACTTGTACACCAAATTGTGATGAATACGAGCCACGTTGTGATCCTCTTGTACCTCCATTCTAACTGTGCACATCATCCTCAAATTAAACGACAATTTTGACCCATAATTCTAAATACAACAAGAATGCGCCAAATTAATTTAATTGAGACATAAGACGTATACATGCTTCAAGAGGTAAAACACTAACTTTAGATGACGGGATTTTGTAGATTTGGCTCCAACAATGTGAATCTATATACTCAAGTTTGATGAGAAGTAGAATGAGAGGAGAATACCTTGCTACACTAGGTGTATATACGACCTAACTTTAGGAAGGGGGCTAGCGTGGCCCATGTATAAGACCTTACTACACTAGGGGTGTGATGTGGCAGGTGAGCCCCACAATTTTCCTACCCTCTCTGTCCTGAAATATAGTGTATTCTGGCATTTGAAATTTGTTTTGAAATTTGTTCTGAAATATAGTGCATTCAGGGAACAAGAAGATAATGTTTACTTAAATACAAATATATCTGTTGTTTTAATTCAGTACTTGCCATATTTCGTATAAGAAGATAAGAGTCCACCCTTTAATCATGGGAAATAGAATCGGATTTCTATAGATTAGGAAGTTCAAGAAAGGGTACATGTGTCTATTACACTCTCTCTTATTTTGTCTAAGAATTGCCAGAATGCACTGTATTTTAGGACCGATAGAGTATGCTGGATCGTTTGTGCCATGCTATAGAGTTGTCACGCCCATTGCACTAGCACGCCAGCCTAGTTTAGCCGTGTTAGGAGTGTTAGCATAGCTAAAAGGGTTAGTTAAAAAAACTGGTAGGAATTATTTTCATAATATCATTTAAAAGGGTCTAAAATTAAAAAAAAAATCCCAGCAGCTAGCGTAGCCTTGCAGTTTCAAAGCCTTGGGCGCAGGGGAATTGAATGATTAGCGAGGAACAAGTCATGGGCATACAGGAGCCGAGGAGCAGAACCGATTCTGATTACATGGAGCTAAAGATATATAGCAGCAACGTTTTCAGTGCTATTTGCACAACGTTTTCACGAACAATACTGTATTGCCTAGCGCCTCATCTCCATCTGGCAGACACAGCTGAGCGAGACAGCAGGCACGCACGGCCTCGGCCTTGGCAACTTGCGCTGACGATGACGAATTTTGGCGCGACCTGCGTGCAGTGGGAGTCTATGGCGATGACTATAGGACCGTAGGACGACGACGGCAGCGGCGGCGCGTCATGTTCCGACGGATGGGGCGGGGAGGGACATGCCCAGCTCCAGGTCCAACGGAGAGCAGTGGTGGCCGCACCCATGGCCATGCGACGAAGGCTGCAGCAGCTCCGTCTGAGCTGCCGCTGCCGCTGCCGGGAACGGTCTGGTCCCTGCACCTGATGCCGATAACGCGTCAGCCCTGATGTCGCCGCCTTCCTCCGTCGAGTTCAGGTCCAAGGCCGCCCTCTCGGAGTCGGAGGCGGTGCCATGGCGTGAAACGTTGAGCGACAGAGGGGTCGAGGCCCCTTCGCTGCTCAGCGGATCGGAAATGCTAGCACTGTTCTCGCAAATCGGCACCTGTTGGTGTTGGACCAGATTGATTGGTTAGTACTTGCTAGTAGTTTAAGAACACGCAAAATTCAAGCAATTACATACTGAAAGATGTTGATGTACGAACTGCATACCATGTCAAAGAGGCTGGAGCGGCGCTTCTTCTTCCCCATGCTGCTCTGCCTGAGGAAGAACTTCTGCGCATGGCTGGCGACCTGCGTGGGGGTCCTCGTCGTCACATAGTTCCTGGAGATGCCTCGCCAGTCGCCCTTGCCCAGCTTCTCCAGGCCGGCAAGGAACTGCCTGTGCTCCTCCTCGCTCCATGGAACTCCTGGCGTCAGTATTCATTATTGTTTTTGTTTAGAAACATCAGCTATTCTGTTACCAACCGATCGAACAAATTCAATGATTTCAGGATGACAGGTTGTGCACTGATTTAGTCAAAGAAAGGGAAGTAGTATCTCTCAGCTGCCTGATTGATTATTACTTGCAGTTGCAGCATCAGGGGAAGATAAAGCGACTTCTTTTACCAAAAAAGTAAAGCATAATGCAACTTTTTTTAGGTCAGACTGATGGACAGTACTACCAATAAGAAAAGAAATTCGGGTAAAGAATAGTTTCTGAATTTCCAAAGAAATAAATCTTCCTCTTTACAGCCTGTTCGCTTACAGCGTTTTTCTCTCACAACAAACCAGCACTCGCCGGGCTTATCAGCCCAGAAACCACCCAGCTAACTGTCTGTCTTTTTCATCAGAAAAATAAAATCAGGTACGTAGAGTACCTAAACTATGCACATGTTCATTCAGACCAGAAAAAAGAACAAGAAAAAATAAAAAAATTGCTCGGTTCTTGACGTACCTTTCTTCCTCTCCTGCACAACTCTGCCATGAGGTCCATCAGACAGGTACCCATTGGTCGCCCCCCTCTCCAAGCCCTCGTAAATCGACAGCAGCAGCGACGAGGAGGAGGACGACGACGGCGAGACGAGGGAACATCCAGCTGGAGCCGCGAGCTGCAGGCAGTCCATGCTGTAGCTCTTCTTTATGGACGCGGAGCCTGCGCCACCACCGCCGCCGCCGATACGGACCTGCACTCCGAACAGCCTTAGGCCGCTGCCGCCGCCGCTGTGGGCGCCGCCATTGTCGCCAGCTTCGCAGAGCATGATTTCTCTGTGTCCTAAACCGCAGGTCCTGGAGTTGTGGCCGTAGTTGCCACAGTGGGAGCACTTCCTAGCCATGGTGTGGCTATAAATCGATGGGCCGAATCTGTACCGTGGCCTTTGCTGCGGATGGCGAGACGTGGTGAGAGAGATGGGTGGAGGCCAGTGTGTCCACAAGAGCACAAACCGTGGCGCACCAGTGGGTGGTACTGCGCTGCAACCGGGATAGGTGTGTAGCTACTAGCTACCAGCTCAGGCAAAGAAACTTACGGAGAGCCCACTATAAATAGGCTTCTCTGTGTCATGATGCTTTGGCTGTCGATGTGGACATGTTATTGGTTGGGAAACCACACAAAAGTGATATTGCTTGATGTCCACTTCTAGATCGTGTAGCTTGGACTTTAGTGGTAACTCTGATTGGTTAGTTAATCATCAAAAAATAAATGGGCATTACAAATTTTAATTTCCTCGCGAACTTGGTTATATCTGATTATATCCTAGCTCCAAGAGCATGTCTAAATTAATTTCAGTCTCTACATCTCTTTTGCCAGAGTCATTCCATTAAGATTCTCTTTATATATCTCTTATGTCGTCAACGGACTCTCTAGATTGCGTTCTCTACACTCGTGTGGCTTTATTATAATTTTCTTGAGTGAAAAAAATGAGAGAATTACCATATATTGAATTTAGATAGAGACGTAGCATCTCCATTAACGGAGAGAGAAGGGTGGTTTTGGAGAGTGGTTTAGAGAGTCTATTATAGCCTGATTTTTTATTTGGCTTCAAAGTTTGTGATAAAGAGCCATGTTCCTTTTGGAGACCCTCCTTTCTTACCAATTGCTAAACTTACATAATCACAGCAAAATGATGCAAGGGACTTATTGAGACAACTAAAGTGGAAGAAAGCACGAAGGCCTTGAGGAAATTGGAACTTCCAGACACATGCACCTCTAAGGTATCAGAACCTATAGTTTGAAATGGAACATCTGGATAAATAATTAAGAAATTAAAAAAAGAAAACTCGATCAAACAACCTTTAAACCTTGTGAAAACATTCCCATAGAATTTTCCACTACAAGATGAGTGTTTGTCTAAAAGATTCATAAGAAAGATCAAGACTTCACCTTTGATTTCATAGATCTTACATAAAACCTAGAAAAGATGAAATTAAGAAAAACCTCAAGCTCCAAACCTGAAATTTGATTAGACAATCTAGGTTCAGATCCAACAAAATTTTAACTCTTGCTTCTCTAACCCATGGTGATTCATTTTCCCACAAAACATCTAGTCAAAACGGTCAAGATTTCACCTCCAATTTTACGGGTTTAGGGAAAAAATTTGGAATGGGAGGGACAAACTTAGATAAAATTAATAAATTTTGAGATGTGAGGGGATTCAATCTAACATCACTCAAGACATGTTTTCACACATTGTAGCACTAAAGGGATATTTGGATTGAACTCTGGACCAAGCAACTCTAAGCAGGAAGCACATCTAATCCTAGCTAGGTATAGCAAAAATCAAATGCTTGATAATGTTGCGCCTGCTAGGTAGGTTTGCCTAGTGTTGAACCAAACATGTCCTAAATCTATCCAAGAACCCATGTCCAATTGTAGACAAAAGAACGAAATAAAAATTCCAAAGTAATGGCTTCTAAAAATAATAAATAAAAAAAGATAATTTTGAGCAATGCATACTATGAGGGCTGATTACATTGATTAGAGAGAATTAACAAGGTCATGAGGATAACCACATCTCTTCATCTTACACAAAAATAGAAATAAAATGTTGCCTGAATTTAATTTGCTGCAAGTATAAGGAATAGTGTTAGCAATAGGTTCGACGGTCAGAAGTTAAGTTGACACGACGTCACATATCACACGTAAGAGTTCCCGACGACTTTCTAACTCAAGCTCCCGCACGTGCAATCCGCATGCATGCACGTACGCTAGCTGCGTGTTATGTTATCTACCGCTACTATATAGTATATCTATTTAAATTAAAGAAAGCAGCTGAGGACCACAAGGAGATCGAGGTCTTGTGGTAGCTATAGCTTGATGTTGCTTAATCCGTAAGCGAACCAGGGCTATTGGAGAGTGTTTAGCTTAAACACCGGGTTTTACCGAACTTTTTTCTCTTTTGAATCAAGGTCAGTTTTATTACCTCTCATGCATTTCGAGTAAAAAAGGTTTATTATATTAGATTTGCATGCATGAGTGGAGGTTGAATGGAGATAGAGTGATGAACATGGACTCCATTGATGGGTCCCCTTATCTAACTGTTAAAATACACATCTGTCTTACTCCATTGATGGGTACCATACAACTTAGGTCTGGTTTAGTTTCTCCTCCAAAAGTTTATATCATATCCCATCGAATATTTGGACACATGTATAAAGTATTAAATATAGACTAAAAAAATAACTAATTGCACAGATTATGAGTACTTTGCGAGACGAATCTTTTAAGCCTCATGAGTCTATGATTTGACAATGTGGTGCTACAGTAACACATGTGCTAATGATGGATTAATTAGGCTTAATAAATTTGTCTCGTGATTTACTTACAGATTCTGTAATTTGTTTTTTATTAGTATCCGAACACCCTATGCGATACCCTCATATAACACCCGATGTGACACCCCAAAACTTTAGACCCTGGATTTAAACAAGGCCATGCTACATGATTTGTCCAGGACGACCAGGAAACTAAAGAAGAGTTGTTATGTCAACTGCCAAATCTGGGAACTAAAGCCTGCCGGCTAATGGTGGAGACGAAGGTTTGGATTGGGCGAAGTGGCCTAGAACTTTAATCATTGTTATCCTATCTCTAATAACACCAGTATTCTAGCTAATCGAATCCATGCACAAGACTATTTTTCGTTATCTCCTGTCCTGCGAACTACAGGCTGCTGCTGCTTTTCCTCTGATCAGAATCTTCGATCCACTGATAAAGCGGATAAGATTTGAGCAGAGAGAGTGCGTGCTAGTCGTCCATGATTGGGACAGCCATTACCCAATTTTGTGTAGCATGTTTGGGGCAGATAAGACGTACGGGGATAAGATTGTTTGTTTAGGTGTTGTTCTTCCACTGCCCAGCGTTAAGATATTAATCAGACAGCAGCGGCCACCGGATCGGATCAGCCATGCATTCAGAGATATGCTACTGAGCCAGGCAGCTGGGCATGCACATTGTTGTCTGATCCAGCTGTGACCTGTAAGCTGTAAGCATGAGATGATGTGCACTAACATACGCTGCTTTATTTAGCGGAAAATTCTTGATTAACCCGCATCATTATCTTATCAGCAGGTTTATCACAAGCGATGGCTTTGTTGATTTAACGCAGGAATATTCGGCTTTTTGTGTGGTCAATGTTCCTCATCCATATGCTTGTCAACAAACAAATGGAGGATTCCTCATCCACTGCTAGCTAGATACTAGGTAGGGAGCTTCATGCATTGGCTATCTTTAATTTTCTCTGAACATTCTATTTGCTTTTTGTTCCATCAAGGGATCCTGTGGCTTGGCATATATATATATATATATATGTGCTATTCTTTTCTGCACCCAATGTGCAGACAACAATCATGCAAGTTGCTCAATTTGATGCTTCTTCTTCCTGTACTGCCATGATGGTTCCTTTATCTTTAGAGGAAAGAGAAATACTTTACCATGTAATCAGTTTTGATATACTTTATACAGAAGAGTAATTATTTTACACTTGACTCACCAGTTGCAAGCTTACAATGATTCTGTCTGCATTTCAGCACTCACAAGTCCCAAATGTCAAACTATGCTTGCCAAAGAAAGCTATCTTGACCCTCTCAAGATGGCAAAAGAAGCAGCGGCAATACTGTTTACTATTTCCTCTATTCCAAATTAAGACATTTTGACTTTTTTAGATTCATTTGTTTTTCTATATATCTAGACACAGCGTATATCTAAGTGTATAGCAAAAGCTATCTATCTTCTACAACTAAAAAGAACAAAGTGTGGACATTTTTTGGTGCGTCATTTGTTTTGGTTCGTCCGTCTGCCCACGCCTGCGATCCCACGACATCTTAATTACTGATTAATCGTGCCATTCTCCTTGATTGAATATTGTCTGTCATGTGATAGATGAATCACGGCAAAATAGGAAGTAGAAAATTATTGTGCTATCCATATACACATTGCATGTTTGCATGCGCCAGCATGCATGGCAACGAGCAAAAGGAAAGAGAATTAACACAGAAGGAAAGAGAATTAAGACAAAATAAACATCTTTATATTTCTGAGAACCTTGTCAAATCTGTCTACATTTAATTACTTCTCCTCTTTGCATTTGCAAAAGGGACAGCTTTTTCCTTCTTTCATTTTGTTTCACGCTCACGTGTTCCATCGCCCTCGCTTGTTGTTTCTTGCGTGAACCATAGTTGATGTCATCTGTCTTCCATGGCTCAGCCTCCCAATTCCAAGAGAAAGTCCCTACCTCTCCCTGACTGGAGATCTGGCCTGCCAGAGGATCTCCTCGAGTCCATCGGGCAGTGTCTCGCGTCAGGCCACGACGCGGCGTCCTTTCGATCCGCTTGCTCCCCATGGCGCGCCGCTGTCCTGTTCGCGACCTTCGGGCCGTTCCTGCTGCTCCCGTTCGACCCCGACTCGGACCGCGTCGGCTTCTACTGCGTCCCGGAGAAGAAGGTCTTGTCCAAGACGCTGCCCGACATGCGCGGCAAGGTGGCGTGCGGCTCCTCGTGTGGGTGGCTAGCGCTCATGGACGAGGCGGCGTCCGTGACGCTGCTGAATCCATTCGCCGGTGCCCGTGCCCCCCGCGTTGAGCTCCCGCCAGCAGGCGAACACGTCGTGGCGGTGTCCTCATCGGAACGCGTGTCTAGGGTCCACGGCCGGTGGGTCCTCCATCCCACCAACGGCTATGGGGACGCAGATGCCGCAGGCAGAGCCATCAAGCTAGAAGACATGAGGGACGTGTTCTTCCGTGAGATCATGCTCTCGGCGCCGCCTGACGCCGCCGGCTGCGAGTGCGTGGCCATGGTCATGGTTGGGTGTTCCACGGAGGTCGCGTTCTGCCGGGTTGGAGTC